TTTAGTTAAATCATTTCATCTTGCTACGACTACATCTTGACCCAATTGAACTAAATTTAAGTAATTTTAATTTGAATCATATTAAATTTTAAATTAATATTTTAAACCCATAACGTTACTAGTGACAAGTGAATTGAATTTAATCTTTGAATCGATTCCAATTTCACCAATTCTAATTCTAAGTAGCTGTTATTTGTTGGCTTTTAAAATCTTTTAAAATCTAATTTTAAATGAATATTTATAGAATTTAAGAAAATCTTATTTTAAAAAATTAGTGCCGTGTCTAAAAAATAAAACTTTTAAAGTTGAAAATTATTTTGGGTATCGATACCAACTGGTTGGTGTGGTGTCTACACCATAAGTTAGTGTCAACACTTTTACCTTGAGTTTTAGCGGTCCTCTATGTTCTAAATGATGGGCACTTTGATCCTAATAGTTCAACTTCATTCATTTAGATCCCTGTTTCAACTTGTCTTCTCACAATATAGTCCTCAACTTTCAGAAAATATTAACTTAAGTCTAAAAACCTCTATTACCATGCATTCAAGTTCTCTTTTGCACTAAGTGAAAATTATGTAAAATTCATTAAAAATCACACCCTACTCATCCAAATCACAATAAAGGCAAAACTAAAATTAAAGATAAAATCATATAGAATGCATCTGATCTGTTTTTTTTTTTTTTTTTTTTGGGAATGATACGGTAGATGGATACTGGAGAAAGAAGAAAAGCAATTAAAATGGAACTAGTTATAATTAGGATGCTTTCTGAACAAAGAAAAATGGTCCAATTAATTATCAAAGAAGCTCACGGGTGTAAGTCCATGAATTAGTCTGGCATAGGATAGCCCAATAAATCCATCTACAACTTTTGCGCGTATCAAAGGACTAAATGTAACAGTCATGCACCTTGAAATAATTTGCACATAATACTACTTCAAAACATTACTACATCCACCTTCATATATATCGTTAAACTGTCCTTGATATGGCCAGAAAAGTCAGGAAAAAGTCCAAGAAAATCCATGCCCTGTAATTTTCCATGGTCAAAAGCTCTTCCATTCCGTGGAGAGACCTTTGAAAATTGGGATTTAAGGATCAAACAAATAAGAGAGACGATAACTCATCTAGTATTGTTGATTTCTTACCCATAGAGAAAAGAATAATTTCACCCTTATCTTCTATTTGGAAAATGTTACCCATTCCACATTCACAGTAAAATGGAGAGATAGGAAGAAGATCAATTTACATTTAATTATATGAAAATAAGCCTTTAAAGTTCAATTGTGATGCATCATATATACCTGGTCAAACAATCTAAAATTGTTGGCTCAAGACAATATGAGTTTACAAGGTTGGCTTTGCCTAAGAACATCATTTAGAAATCTCATTTGTGGCTTTCATCAATATAGATATTTCTAATGTAAAGTTGAACTCTTCAATCCCTTCCCAACAAAACAACCTGAAAAAGTTAATGAAATCATAAACCATTTTGGAGGCAATTGAATGCATTTTTTCAGATAAAGTGACTAAAAGGAAATGGAAGTCTTGAACTTCATCTGGAAATAGAGAGGTGCGAGAAACAATGTATATGAATTGCATAGTGCATAAGTTTTTACCTGATCCAAGGGTTAACTTATCATCCAAAATGCCTCATTTTACATATTTTCCTTAGGACAAATAGAGAAAAAAAAAAAAACATTTTCAAGTCCAAATATTAGCTGTTACTCTTAATTTAAATATCTAATAGAAACTGATTACAAGGTACTTAGCTCATAATCAGAGCTGTTACTAACATTGAGCTTCTCTACCCATTTTCTTGTGTTAACTTTTTATAGGTGATGTGCAGCACTGTTGATGACTTGATCGTATACACAAGTCCAATACAGCAAATAACGAATATGGAATAGAAAGATAACAATGAGCTTTTCAAGCTTTGGGGATGCATGGATAAAAAACCAATCCATGTATAATACACTGTTCCAAAGAGATTTACCAAATACCACACTCAACAAGTATTCTTCTTCTCTCTGTACCCAATTAAGCGAAAAATAATCAAACTCAACAACAAAGTTTCTTCTACTTTATGAAACACCAGAGATTGTACACAACAATAAATCATCAAGAATAAATTCTTGAATCACCAATGTCATAGTCATCACCATAATAAAGCTGCAAGTCAAAATCTCTCATCAAATTGGGATAAATCTCACCAAGCATGCTGAGTGTGTTTCCAAGAGGAACTAGAGACCAAATCACTGTTGATCATCTGGCAAAACTAACTCCTCTACTGACCTTGCTGCTGTTGCAACTCTCACCATCTCTCTACTGTTTTTGCAATGATGATCAAAACCAACCACTAGCCATTTTTTAAAGCTTCCCTGACTTGGGCTAAAACCAACTTTTAGCCCCTCACCTTACAAAATTGGTAGGTTTTAACCCCTAACCTTATAATATGACACTTTTAACCATTTACCTTACGAAGTTGGTAGGTTTTAGCCCTTCACCTTATATTATGACACTTTTAACCCTTTATTTGTATGAATTGAAGAAAATAACCTTTATTTAACATCTGGTTATAATATTCTATTAGTTCTGTTAGCTGACTGTTAGTTATGTTAGTTGACAGTTAACATCCATTAGCATTTTGTTAATGGAACTAACAAATAAAATTGAATTTAAATTTCATTTTTTTTATAACGGAATGCTAATGGATGTTAATAGTCAACTAATAGAATTAATAAAACGTTATAACCTGATGTTAAGTGAGGGTTATTTTCTTTAATTCGTATCAGTAAGGGATTAAAAATATCATAATATAAGGTAAAATGTTAAAACTTACCAACTTTGTAAGGTGAGGGACTAAAACTTACCAATTTTGTAAGATAAAGGACTAAAACCTACCAATTTTGTAAGGTGAGGGGCTAAATGTTGGTTTTTGCCACTGACTTGATATATTTCAAAGTCCAAGCCCCATGCAGTTCATATATAAGTTCATGAAGACTTTCCTCAACACTAGATGGATGGATATATACAACAAAGGAATCCTAAAGAAATAAAAATTTGAAATGGTTAGTTAACATGATTGAGTATTGTTCACGTGCCAAAATGGAATGGAATCGTCATTTATCCAAATGAGGTGGGATAGATCACCGAGGTCAACGTAGAAATTGATTAGAATCGAAGGGTCAGTTAAGCGTGAGGAATGTGTTAGGCATCCCACAACTTTCATATAATATGGTTACCACATATTTTAACTTTGGGGACTTTTTAATTTTATATCAAAATAATAATTACCAAAAAAAATAAAATAATAATAATAATAATAGTAAACCAAAAAAAATCACTTCCAAAAGAACAAAGAATCTGTCATCATTTCATTTTTTTCGTTTCCGTTTCTGTTTCCTTTTTTTTCTTTTTTCTTTTTTTGCCTCTTCCTCTTTCTTTCTTCCATTTCTTTTTTTTTTTTTTTTTT